CCCCCCCCCCCCCCCCCCCGCACACACAAAGGGAAAAGAAGCCAATTTGTATAAAAACTCTCCCTAGCAGCATTTTTGGTTGGCAAAGACCTGGAAACTGCAGGAGTAGCCATCAGTTGGGGAATGGCTGAACAAGTGATGGGATATGAATGTGATGGAGTAGTATTGTTCAATAAGAAATAATTGGATGTTTTGACTTGGCCAAGGTGGGAATTTGCTTTGCTTCATTCTATGTATCTGTTATAAGGACGTTCCCCTCCCTACCTTTTTTTCCACTGGAGGAGGTAGGGATGAGAGGGAGAAAAAAGAAATGTTGGTTAAATGAAAAAATTAAATTAAAAAATGGCATTAAAAGGACAGATTTGGAGATATTTAGGAGGACTTATGTAGGAGAAAGCTGAGTGGGCCTTAAGGGGCATTCCATTGAGCATATGCCCTGAAATAACAGTCCCTTGGAATTCTGGGAGCTTTCCAAAGAGCTCTGGGTACATGTTCCATGAAATGGCCCATTTAGGCCCAGTCCACCTTTGCTACATTTGTATAAATTCATGCACAGTAGAGTGAGCAGAACCAAACCATTTAAACAATAAGTACAACATTGTAAAGAAAGACTTAAGAATTTTGCAGGACAAAATAACCCAACCTCCATCCTGGAAGACTCATGATAAAGCCTGCTTCTGGCCTTCCAATAGTGCATTGGACTCAGGGAAATCTGGGTTCAAATTCTTTCTCAAACACTACCTGTGTGACCTTGGACAAGTCACTAAACATCTTTGGAACTCAGTTAGCTTACCTGCAAAATGAGAGTCTAAGACTTCATGGCCTGCAAAGTCTCTTCTATCTCTAAATCTACAATCCTAGGATTCCTTCCAAATCTGGGGTTCTGCAGTGCTGCACAGAATCTGCCATCTGCATTTGTGAAACTACCAGGGGGCACATCAGTGTGAAGGCCTACAGCCCGAGCTGAACTGTTATGCCCTAATGTTCATATTGGGCTGCTAGGTGGTGCGAGAAGATTCACCTTCCTGGGTTCAAATCTGGCCTCTGACGCTTACCAGCTGTGTGACCCTGGGCAAGTCACTTAACTCTGTGTTCCTCAGTTTCCTTATCTGTAAAATGAGCTGGAGAAGGAAATGACAAACCACTCCAGTATCTTCACCAAGAAAACCCCAAATGGGGTCGTGATGAGTTGGATTGACTGAAAAAAACAACTGAACAATAAACAACAATGATGTCCACGTTCGGATATTATCAAATGATCAGTCCCTATGTTCTGACTGTGCTGGAAATAGCTCTCTGGTTATGGACAATTATTAATATTAATCTTCCATTTCTCTGGCATGCTATTTATTTATTTTTTTGCTTTTTTTGGGTGTGGCAATTGGGGTTAAGTGACTTGCCCAGGATCACATAAGCTCATAACTGTCAAGTGTCTGAGGCTGGATTTGAACTCAGGTCCTTCTGACTCCAAGGCCAGAGCTCTATCCACTGCTCCACCTAGCTGTTCCCAGCATGCAATTTAATACAAGATCACAGATTTAGAGCTGGAAAGAGAGGCCATTGATTCCCACTCCCTCATTTTACATATGAGGACACTTAGGCACAGAGAGGTTATCCTTTGCCCAGGGTCACACAGCTAGTAAGTGTATGAGATGGGATTCAAACCCAGGTTTTCCTAACCCCAAATCCAGTGCCCAATCCACTGTGTGACACACCTCCTTATTTCACTGTCTCTATTATTATTCTCTCCTGTACTCTAGATGTGTCTGTTCACTATCCCCTACATGTAGCTTGTCTTTTATTTTCCCCTCTAGGTGTTTCCCTACACTACTGGCCGCATTTGAAATGCCCTCTTCACCACCTACTGAAATCCTGCCCATCCTTCATGGCCCCCAGTTGAGCCTCTTTGGTCTTCTTAAGGCTTCCTTGACCACTCCAGCTGGAAATTAATCCCTTCCATGAACTACCTAGAGAGAGAACATTTATAGTCTGTATCACATGTGGCACTCTCTCGGGGGCCTTCTAACATAAGCTCTCTCTTTTTCTGCATGTATGTCTTGTAGCAGACAGGAGTTTGGGGGCCTTTTCTGCCCACCAGTGTCCCTTAGATTCTAGTAAATAACTGCTACAGGCTTGTCATTTCAGCTAGACTAGGAAGAATTCCCGTTGAGGGAGCAGCTAGGTGGTGCAGTGGATAGAGCATCAGCCCTGGAATCAGGAGGACCTGAGTTCAAATACGGCCTCAGACACATAACACTTACTACCTGTGTGACTCTGGGCAAGTCACTTAACCTCAGTTGCCTCATTAAAAAAAACTGAAAATAAATTAAAAAAAAAAAGAATCTCCTTGAGGGGAGGGGCCTGGTCTTATATGACCTTTGCTTTAGCTGCTCCCCATACCTAGGATGCACTCACTCCCTCAGACTCTTAGAATCCCCAGATTCCTTCAAAGCTCTGCTCAAGACCCCTATGCCCTAAGGTCCCCAGGCCTTATCACCCATCCCATAGCTATACCCTTAAGACTTCTGCGTCTTTCCATCTCCCTTGCAGCTAAACCCTCCTATATGTGTGTCTTCCTTAATCAATCAATAAACATTTATTAAGCACCTACTATGTGCCAGGAACTATGCTAAGCACACAGTTCCTTGAGAGCAAGGATTGACATGCTTTTCTATCTGTATCTGTCCTGCTTCACACATAGTAAGGACTTATTCATTCGTACACTGCACTTCACATGAAAGGCTGCAAAGTTGGAAAGTGCCTTTATCTATTGAGGCTTTGTTCCTACGAGGGAGACTTCAGTGCTATTTACTGCTTTATAGCACCACCTAGTGGTTCAGTAAGTATACAAACAGCAGAATTCCAGACGCCCAGACTTGGGGATGAGATAGATAGTCATTGAGTCTAACCTCTCCTACCTGACCAAGAATTCTCCCTACGGCCATTCATCCGTTGCTTGAAGACCTCCAATGAGGGCCACTGAGGCAGTCCATTCCACTTTAGGAAAGTCTTCCTTCTCTCAAGCCCATATCAATCATGTACCTAATTCTGCCTTGAGTCCAAACAGAACAAGTCTTCCCTGCCATGGCCCTTATGGCTCTAAATAGAGGAAGTCTATTCACAAAAGGCAGTGAACAGCAGCAGAATTACAGGAGACTAAACTGGGAATAGTGCAAAGAGATCACATCCACCGGCGAACAAGCTGAGAAAGAACAGCCCAGAAACATTACCAGAAGGCAACAATGGTCCTACAGCATCAAAGACATGAGTCATTTCTTTTCTGGGTTGTGCCAATAGCTCTCTAATTGATCTTACTGACTCCTCTCTCCCCTCTGTAATCTATTCTCCACACAGCTGCCAAAGCTTTATCCCTCAATCATGGGTTGGGCAATGTTGCTCTCCTTTTCAAGAAATTCCAGTGGCTCCCTCTTGGTTCTAGGATAAAATACAGCCTCTTTAGAAAAGAATAACTCTCTGGAAGAATGCCTCTCCCCAACCTCAAAACCCATTTCCTTAATTTCAGGCATACGTTCATAAAGTGGGTGATACCACCCCCTGGAATGATGGGGGGTAAGGGGAGTGGTAGTAGCCTTGGGTACAATTAAGGGGGCATTGAATAAAAATAAGGAGGCAGTGGAAGCATAAGAAAAGAAGAGAAGAAAAATTTGAAAAAACCATTTGTATATATTTCATCTGTTGTGTAACAGAGTTAAAGCTGTAGTGATTACATTATTTTCAAAATAAACACACAAAATGCAAGCTATAATCCGGTCAGTGGTCAAGTCCACTGACGGGTCTTAACAAGCAAGTGTTGGTAGGTGAACCTGTCATACATTGTCAGGAAGTCCAGCATATATTAGCAGGAATATGTGCGTGTAATGGCTTGTTTACAATATGATACATGATGTAATATTGTGTCATCAAAATTTCAATGAGGGAAAAGACCCATAAATTTACAATAAATTATTAAATTTAAGATGCATCGTTTTTTAAAAAAAATTTTTAAATGATGCAGATTTTTAAAAAAAAAAAACTATTAAAGGTTTAAAGAAAGTAGATTTCCAGAAGGGCACTGAGTCATTTTTTTTTTAAAAGGGAGTGATAGGTCAAATAAATTTGGGAACCTCTGATTTCATTGGTGGGAAGTTATACATGTGGAACATTGTATATATTGGCAGTCCTAGGTCATTGTGTTGATTGGTATCAATGAGCTGCTTTTTTTTTCTTTAAAAATTGTTATAAAAGAGGAGTAGGGAAGGCTGGAGGAAGAGATATATTTTGAAACAAATATTTTGTAAAAATAAAAAAAGGTGTCAATAAAAAATTTTTGTGTTTGAATTCAAACTCTTCTGTTTGGCATTTAAAGCTCTTCACAATATGAATCCAACCTCCCTTCCAGAACACTCCTCCTCTTTATACATAGTATAGTTCCAACAAAATGCTCTCTTGATGGTTCCAGATGTACAATATTCCATCTCTGATTTTTGTGCCTTTGCCTTCATGTCTAGCGTGCCCTCACTCATCTC